GCCCGAGGTGGGCTTAATAGCCGGCGACTACTGTATCTTGTAAACTAAGATAAGATCCCCTCTTTTTGCCTGTAATGCAGTACTGTTCTGGCCAAATCGCCTGTGGGCAGAAATTTGACTGATGGGGATTTTACCAGAGCATTAATTTCTTACTAAACCGTGAGGAAAATTCTATCAGCGCTTGATGCCGCGAATAATCCTACTAGAATCTACGAATTGTGGTTTGTATGTTCAGAGTACAAAAACGTTCTGTGCGGCTAAACCGGGAAGCTGCCAACTCAGATAGCGGTCGAAGGTATGCCAGTGCGAATGGACAAATCTTATTTGACGAGTGCCAATTCAAAGTCCATCTCACTGTTTGGGAAAGCGGCAGCTTGGGTAAGGAGTGCGCCCGTCAACCCCTGCGACTACCGACGCCAATATTGAGTTCGCTTTACCATGGATGGAAGGGCTACTAGCAAGTGTCTAACGACGATGAGTAAGCACTTCGGATTCCCGAGGAGAGCAAACGGCTAGGTTATAACATAGGTCGGGCGACTGACAGATCCTAGTTTGTCTTTGCGTAGACATAATGCGATTGTTTTGAACTGTTAGCGAAGAAAGTTTAAATTCCATTCGTCCTTGACCGTAAATGTCTGCTTTTGTATCCCTTCAGGCTCATATCAATACTGTATGATTTGATTTTACCAACCCGTTTTCTGTGAATCGTGCGAAAATTTCAACCCTTATTTTCTATACGATGTATTATTCCAACTACGAGTGGCACTTTGGTCTGCTTGACGATGGCCCCTAAAATGTAGGCATCTTCCGCTTTCTTTTTTGCTTTGGTTTTCTCTGGACCTTGGCGTCCGTCTACCACCTCCCCGTCAACTACTTCCCTATTCATTTCTAGCATATGAACTCTGCGTGTGAAGAAATATCTCAGAGAATGGATTGCACTCCGTTAAAGTCACCGTCCGCAAACGGCGACGAGGACCAGAAGTCCACTGCCTCACAAAAACTGACGACTGTTGGTTCCCACCCAACAAAGTCACTGCGTCCGCAAACGGTTCACGTAGAAGTTCAATTGAAGTGCTTCAGCGTGGCCTCACCGGATATAGTCTCTCAACAGGTGCAAACATTTCTTCGTCAACGAGGTACTTGCACTGTACCCCTCCTTATCGAATCCTTCGAGGAGGCTGTTGGTGTAAAAGAGGACACAGCGTGTTCCGGTGTGGACTCCACTGCCAAGAATTTGCAGATATTTCTGCGAGAGAACATAACCGCAATCAATGTAGGTTCCTTGTACCTACTTTTTTTCTAGATTAACTTTTTTTTTACTATTTTGCTGTTTGATCAAGTTTGGAGAGCTAAGTCGATCGTCCGCTGACCTAGCGACAATGGCAGGCGGCATTTGAATTTGGGGTAGGATTCAATTTAGGGCCCACAACAGCACGCGAAAACCTCCTTTTTCTGTACTACGGGTTAAATGGGTGGGGCATATCAAAAGAAAGAAAAAATTAAAAAAATTACAATTACAATAAAAAATTAAAATAAAAAATTAGAGCGTATAAAATAATAAAATAATAGTAATAATGGTAAAAGTTTAATTTAGGTTCCCAAACAGCTTATCTAACTAACCGAATATTTTTGCGCGATAAGTAAAGTGGCGATTGTGCCCAATTAGGCACTATTGGGCCATTTTAATTATCGCTCGCGGATGTCAGATTATTTAAATAAGATGTAGTGAACCCTATATTTAACCTTCACCGAGTTTGGCATCGTCCAAGCAAACTAGATGTAGGTCACAATCTAGTCGTTTCACTCAGCATTTCAATTTCCGCTCTGCGTTCCTGAAAGAAAGTAAACAATATTCCCGGAAAACTCACCGATTAAGCAGGAAAATATTGCGGACAAACGGGCACTAGAATGACTATTTGTGGTTTATTAGCCGTCAGCAGCGATCCCCAGATGGTGCACCACCCGGGGCTCGAACTCGAGACATGTTAATTAGAAGTCCAATGCTCCAATCGTTGAGCCACGGCCGTTCAGCTGAGCCTCTGGCAAAACTATCCTCATGTGGTTGCCCGTAATATCCGCACTGTTTTTCCGTCTTATTGCGGCCCTTCGGAGTTCGACGGAGCCATGCCCGAGTCGAACTACAGTATTGCAAGTCCTGCAAGCAACTTGCCTAAGTTTGTAAATGTTTGATTATTTCTCCCATACCAGCGAGAACGCATTTACGAAAACTTAGAAATAGTAATGAGCAGCATTAGGTATATTAAGTACTTAAAAGAACTATAAGACGTACTAAGTGTTTGTTAAGGAAAATAAAATTTTCTCAATAATCACCAGGTTCTGGAGACGTCAAAAATAGCTATAAATTAGAACAATAAATTCAAATATTTTGTTAATTATAAAACTTAAAGCAACCACTTTCTTTATAC